CGAAGAGGATGTTGCTCCTTATGATCTCTTGGGTTTTACGAACTAATCATAGAACCTGTTGTGTAAGATAGATGCTGCTGTCTGTGCGATGGCATCATCCTCATATTAGGAACTAATTATGATGTGTGCAATAAAACATATTTTTGCAATCGGCTCGGTTAACTTTTCCCATTTGCATTATTTACTTGCACTGAGAAGATGTATTTGTTTTCTGTTCATATACCGTTTAATCCATACACTGAAGCAGCGATTCTTAATGAGGGCAGTGGTAGTCAGCCATTCGGATAAAGCATTAATATATCAACATCCCTTTATTATTCTCTCTATAAGAGATTGGACCAGCATTGAATTATAAAAAAGAAAATATAAGTATCGCCTTCACTAACTTTAGTTTTTAATAGACTACGTATAGGCGTGCGATTCTCTGCACTTCTTGACCCTACTTATTAGCACTCGAAATCCCTGAGGAGGGGGGGGGGGGGGGTATTGTTAACTTGTCCTAAACCTATTATTCCTCGCTGGTGAACTCCATTCTGTCTCTGTCTGTCACACATGCCCCTGGTAATCACTCCTTTGTCAATATTCTTCTGTTGAAGCTCTTGAGTTACGCTTTACCTCAGGTTTTGCATTTGCCTATAAACATCAAACAGCCATAAATATATTGGTGGATTGTATATGTTCCTCTTTTTGTTACTCGCATATTTGGAATTCTATTTGTGTTTCCTCTGTTATTCGCATATTTTGAATTCTGTGTTCCTCTGTTATTCGCATATTTCTATTTGTGTTCCTCTGTTATTCGCATGAATTCTGTTCCTCTGTTAATCTGTGTATTCGCATATTTTGAATTCTCTTTGTGTTGTTATTCGCATATTTTGAATTCTGTTTGTGTTCCTCTGTTATTCGCATATTTGAATTCTATTTGTGTTTCCTCTGTTATTCGCATATTTTGAATTCTCTTTGTTCCTCTGTTATTCGCATATTTTGAATTCTCTTTGTGTTCCTCTGTTATTCGCATATTTTGAATTCTATTTGTGTTCCTCTGTTATTCGCAGATTATGAATTCTCTTTTGTGTTCCTCTGTTATTCGCATATTTTGAATTCTGTTTGTGTTCCTCTGTTATTCGCATATTTTGAATCTTTTGTGTTCCTCTGTTATTCGCATATTTTGAATTCTCTTTGTGTTCCTCTGTTATTCGCATATTTTGAATTCTCTTTGTGTTCCTCTGTTATTCGCATATTTTGAATTCTATTTGTGTTCCTCTGTTATTCGCAGATTTTGAATTCTCTTTGTGTTCCTCTGTTATTCGCATATTTTGAAATTCTGTTTGTGTTCCTCTGTTATTCGCATATTTTGAATTCTCTTTGTGTTCCTCTGTTATTCGCATATTTTGAATTCTGTTTGTGTTCCTCTGTTATTCGCATATTTTGAATTCTCTTTGTTTCCTCTGTTATTCGCATATTTTGAATTCTCTTTGTGTTCCTCTGTTATTCGCATATTTTGAATTCTTTTGTGTTCCTCTGTTATTCGCATATTTTGAATTCTATTTGTGTTCCTCTGTTATTCGCATATTTTGAATTCTCTTTGTGTTCCTCTGTTATTCGCATATTTTGAATTCTCTTTGTGTTCCTCTGTTATTCGCATATTTTGAATTCTTTTGTTCCCTCTGTTATTCGCAGAATTCTATTCGCATATTTGAATTCTATTTGTGTTCCTCTGTTATTCGCATATTTTGAATTCTCTTTGTGTTCCTCTGTTATTCGCATATTTTGAATTCTCTTTGTGTTCCTCTGTTATTCGCAGAATTCTTTTGTGTTCCTCTGTTATTCGCATATTTTGAATTCTCTTTGTGTTCCTCTGTTATTCGCATATTTTGAATTCTCTTTGTGTTCCTCTGTTATTCGCATATTTTGAATTCTATTTGTGTTCCTCTGTTATTCGCATGAATTCTATTTGTGTTCCTCTGTTATTCGCATTTTGAATTCTATTTGTGTATTCGGATTCTTCCTCTGTTATTCGCATGAATTCTCTCTGTTTCGCATATTTTGAATTCTGTTTGTGTTCCTCTGTTATTCGCATATTTTGAATTCTCTTTGTGTTCCTCTGTTATTCGCATATTTTGAATTCTTTTGTTGTTCCTCTGTTTATTCGCATATTTTGAATTCTGTGTTCCTCTGTTATTCGCATATTTTGAATTCTGTTTGTGTTCCTCTGTTATTCGCATATTTTGAATTCTCTTTGTGTTCTCTGTTATTCGCATATTTTGAATTCTATTTGTGTTCCTCTGTTATTCGCATATTTTGAATCTCTTTGTGTTCCTCTGTTATTCGCATATTTTGAATTCTCTTTGTGTTCCTCTGTTATTCGCATATTTTGAATTCTATTTGTGTTCCTCTGTTATTCGCAGATTATGAATTCTTTGTGTTCCTCTGTTATTCGCATATTTTGAATTCTCTTTTGTGTTCCTCTGTTATTCGCATATTTTTGAATTCTCTTTGTGTT